TCACCATCATCATCGTCGTCATCATCATCAGTTGTGATTGTAAGGAACAGAAATCCTGTTCCTCCTTGCACCAATGGAGCAAAGCGACCTGCATGTGCCTCTGTAGACAAGTTGCTGAATGCCAGGCCAATGAAATTTTTAGCCACGGCACATGCAAGTAAGTAATAATAAATTAATAAATCATGATAATTGAAATTTAATTATTATTAACTTTAATGGTAAATGATTTGTTGGAGAGGCAGCTAACTTTCTAGAGAACCCAAAATTTTGCCATTTATTGCGAAGTGATTTTATTCGAACGCGCAAAGATCCTGGCTACTTATTTGAGTAGATGTTAATGTTGGCCAATGAAAATCACTAAACCAGGGGTGGACACATTTTTGCTGTGAGGGCCGCATTGAGGATTATTTTACTTTTGAAGTGCCGCAGATGTATTTAAATGTAGTTAAATAGCAAATTTCTTCGACCCGGGGGAGAATTTTTTTAAGATTTGTGGCCCGCAGGCAGTAGTTTGCCCACCACCTGCACTGAACCGTAATTTTTATCCATTAAATACTTCATTCCAGGTGCGTAAGAGACACTTCACTCGGTGGGGATTTGGCTTCAATTGCAAACGTAAACTTGGCCCAAATTTGTGCTAGAAAAACCTGTCCTAGCAATCAAATACTGGCCCTGGTCAGCAACCCTTGCGTCTGCAAGTCTCCTTAATAATAATAACAACAATACTAATAATAATGATGATGATGATGATGCTGATGATGTTGATAAAAAAGAAAATTATTTATTCATGTATCTGAGATTTGTGATTCATTTGTCGATACCTACTGCTGAACGTTTGTGAAAAAATAAATTAACCGATTTTATGGAAGTTTATTGCTTAGTATTTAGGTATATCTATTCATTTTTTTTTCGTTTGTTTATTTATTCATTCATTCACTCATTCATTCTTTCATTTATTTATTTATTCGTTCGTTCATTCATTCGTTTATTAATTCATTTTTTCGTTTGTTCATTCGTTCATTCATTTTTTCATTCATGCATTTATTCAGTCATTCATTCGTCTGTTCGTTCATTCTTCATACGATTGTTATCCATTGCCAAATTATTTTATTGAAATTATTGTACTGCAGAAATTAAACGAATTTATTTATATTTTGAGAACACTTGACATCTTTTGAAAAAATTTTTAAAAAATTCTTTTCAAATTACAAAATCAATCAATCAATCAATCAATCAATCAATCAATCAATCAATCAATCAATCAATCAATCAATCAATCAATCAATCAATCAATCAATCAATCAATCAATCAATCAATCAATCAATCAATCAATCAATCAATCAGTCAGTCAGTCAGTCAATCAATCAATCAATCAATCAATCAATCAATCAATCGATCCATCGATCCATCGATCCATCAATCCATCGATAGACAAATAATCAGACAGACAGCAAGCATATCTGCAAATAGATACATAGAAATAGTTGACAGACAGTCAAACAGAAAATATGTCTACAAGTAGAAAGTATGTCTCTACAGATAGAGAGAGAGACAGATAGACAGACAGACAGACAGACACTATCATCATTGTTATCCTCAGATGTGAATGCAATAAAAAGAGAGAATCTTGTTGACCCATGAAGCTCTGAAGCAAGCAGACATGCAGTTGCACATATAGATTCAGAGAGGAATGTCGACCAGATGAATTGTTTAGAATATTTAATATTTCATAGGATGCCATCAGAACAATATAAGATGAGTATAAATGTATGATGAATTGCGATGAATGATGGTTATAATTAGGATGATTTATGACTAATTGTGATGAATTATGGTGAGTTGTGGTAAATTATGATGAACGAATGAATGAATGGTTGAATGATTGATTGATTGATGGAATGAAAGAATGAATTAGTTATTTAAATAATGAGTAAATGAATGAATGAGTGAATGAATGAGTGAATACATACATGTATATAGTTATGTGAATGCCAAAATATGGACTTTGGGTTTAATTTACATTTTGAAGACATGCATACAACTATACAACAAACGATACATTTTATATATATACATACATATGCATGTATGTATTATATATGTATTAAACATACATGCATGTGAGTATATTATATAATAAATATATATGTAAATATATAACATATGATAAAAAAGGTTGAAGGTGATGATGAAAATGATAAAACTGATAGTCACACTTATTTTAAAAGTGAGCTTTAGTATCTAGTTCGCCTCATGTTTCTGCTGGTGTTGGCTTCTTGAATGGACCCAGAGTGGTTTTAATTAGTTTTAAAATAGAAAAAACGTTTGGCAACTTACAAAAATGATTTTGAAACGTTTGTTGAATGGCGTACGTCTTAATAAAGGTTATTATATTATTTTCATTTTAGATTTAAAACGTTTAAATTGCTGATTTCTTTATTGATGGTTGATGGTTATGTGAGGGACCCGTTTGGTTGCAATCTGCGCTTTTTCTTTTTTTTTTTGCCATCACGTAATGGCGGCGATAATAATAATAATAGCTTTTATCTAGGTGACCAATTTATTTACTTTTTTAGATTTGATTTTGTTAACGAAATTTTAAATAATAGCCCATACATACATGCAGACGGTTAAATAAATCAAAATGCGTTATGATATTAAAATTAGATTAGAAGATTAGAAATTTTGAATTCTAATTCAATCAGAACCCCAGACTTTGAAAGTGTGCAAACGATTGTTCGGTCAGCCTGTTTATGACACCCATCCCCACGTCATGAGGAAAGATCATGTGACTCCGGGAATATCTAAAAGTGAATACAAACAGCGTAGAAGTCATTTATGGAATAACATTTGTAAAGTTAGCCACAAAAATTCAGCGCTAGCTGTCATCAGTGCCTACCCAAAAAGTTACATGGCTCATGATGTGCCCTATCCTTTCAGACAGAATTCAGATTTTTTGTATCTTTGTGGATTTCAAGAACCAGATAGCATCTTGGTCATGAGCAATCTGTTCAATTCAAGTTAGTTAAGTTGGTTTCTTTGTATTTTTTAAAAATAGTTGATATTAAAAGTTGAGTAATTCATATAATTTTACATGAAGTATGTCGATCGGTAATTATAGAAAATGGTTGAATTCTTAGATGAGCATAATAAAGAAGATTTCAAAACCATCATCTTTGTGCCAAAACGAGATAAGTTGAAAGAACTTTGGGATGGTCCAAGGACAGGGTCAGAGAGGGCAGCAGAAGTGACTGGCTGTGATGAATCATTTGACGTCGACTACTTTGACAAATTTCTTCAAAAAATATTACAATCTGATCAAACATTTGATCTTTGGTACGATAACTCGAGTCCCTCGCACAGATCACACCACTCAAAGCTATCAAACACGTTACTGAAAAGCTGTAAAGTGAAAAACGTTCAACCAACAAAAACATCTGTACAGAATTTAAGGTTAATAAAATCAGAAGCTGAAATTGATCTGATGAAAATTGCTTGTGACATCGGCTCAAAGAGCTTAGAAAAAGTAATGAGGTACTCAAAACCAAAGGTCTGTCTAAACATTCAACTTGAAAGTTTGGTTTGCAAACACAAAATATTTTCATTTCATGATTATAACTAAATGTAATTATTTTATAAAAAATAAAATAAAATTTTTAATTACTATTATTCATTTTTTCCATAATCTGCACCAAGATAGATAGACGAATCACATCTCTATGCAAAAATGGACTTTGAATGTCGAATCCACGGAGCTGAGAGACTGGCCTATCCGCCAGTTGTGGCAGGTTTCATCATCATCATCATTTAATTTATCATCATTATCATCATCCCTATCGTTATCATCATCCCATCATCATCAATATCCTCTTCTTTGTCATCATCAACTTCATTATAAGCATTTCTGTTCTTGTTATCACCATTTTTGTTTTGTTGTTGTCGACAAATACATTAATACCTCAATAATAATAACAATAATAATAATAATCCCTACCATTATCACCACAACCACTCTAAAATTAGGCGGAAGTAGAGCAAACATCATTCACTACATCAACAACAATCAGCTGGTTGACAATGGAGACATGGTCCTGATGGATGCCGGCTGCGAATATTTTGGATACTGCAGTGATATCACCAGGACCTGGCCAGTCAACGGTTCGTTTTTGGATGATTTGGTATCTAATTTGGGATATAGAATATCCATCCATTTTTGGATGTTTGGATGTCCGTTTGTGGGATAATTAAATATGTCAATTAAATTTCTACATTCGATAATTGAGTTCTTTTTTTTTCTCAGGAGTGTATAGCACAACTCAAAAATCTCTGTACGAAGCCTTATTAGAAGTGCAAATGTCCTGCATATCACTGTGCCACGCAAACTACTTGACACTGAATCAAATATTTCTGGTCATGCTGACTCTACTGGGCAGGCAGCTTCAAAAATTGGGAATAATTTCAGCCAGTATTAGTGAAGATAAACTGAGTGAGGTGAGATTTGGCGGGGGTTAATTGTTACCACCGTCATCGTTGTCGTCTTCATCATCGTCGTCTTTATCACCGTCGTCAACATTTTCATCACTGTCATCGTCATCATTAACAGATTTCTAGAACTTTCTGTCCCCACCACGTCAGCCACTATCTCGGCATGGATGTGCATGATGTTGATGAGATGAGTCGAAACATCCAGTTGAGACCTGGAATGATAGTCACCATAGAACCAGGTGGTTTAGTTGGTGATGATTTTGAAAAGAAATTTTTTTTCTCTCTCTCTATAGAATTTTATTTGTCAAATCTAGAACAGACAGAAAAAAATCAATCTAACTTAATAAGATTGATTTTTTTTATTGCTGTCAAAAATGATGATTAACACACTAGCTTGAAATTACATGAACCTGACAAAATACTTTTAACTTCTCTTAATTTTTTATTTAAAAATCTCAAATGTCTGATTTGAACACTCCTTGGTTATAAGATGGATCATCCTTTTCAGGTATCTACATACCTAGCGACAGACTGGACGTACCAAAAGATTGGAGGGGGGTCGGCATTAGAATTGAAGACGACATCCTCATAACTAAAAGTGGACCACTGAATTTAACGGAAAAATGTCCGAAATATCTGAGTCATATTGAAAATATTATTAACACATACTGAATTTTCACTCAAACTGTTTGAAGCTGAATTTTTGACTGGCTGATAAAAACGATTGATTGATTGAATGATCGGTTTTTAGTCATCCACATCTATCCATATACATGCTGTCAATTAATTGATCACCAAACATATGTAATAATACTGTAATTAATTAACCTAGAGGACCAACCTACGAACCATCTTGTCTGCTCTTATTGATGTAACAACATCTTGTATACAAGCCGTGCTATTACGATTACACTGCAATTAATTAATTAATTACAACTACATTGTAATTAATTAATTTACATTGTGCAACAATCATTACAATTATTCCTTTCATGATTATGGATTCCGTTACAATTGATTTTATAGTGTATAACTTTGTGTGTATTTACTTTTAAAATAAATTTCAACATCATGTTTTATAATAAGAACTTGACATTTATATTAATGGCGACATTAAATTAGTAAATTAGCGATAACACGGCAATAACACTAATAAATAAGATGAATAAAATTTATTTTATCGTCGTTATCACTAATTGGTAATAATAATTTAATTTAATAATATTATTCGCTTAATTACTATTTAAATGTCAACTAAGTACACGAAATTGAAGTGATCGATGCCTAAGATTTTCACCTCTCCAAAAAGTGAAAAAAAAATATTTCAACAAACAATAAATGGAATATGTTATAATATAATAAGATGGATAATAATAATAACGATAAACTATAATAAATAACAATAATAATAAAAAAAAATAATAATTTAGTCTTCTCCGGGGGGCAGAGCATCTTCTAACCTCTTGTTGAACTTTAACCTTATTTCTGTGATGTTGTCACCCTTCAGTTGGTCCTGAACGAACCAGACACTAACGTCTAACTGCACCTATTTCATAAAATTATATATTAATATTAAAGATAACAATAGAAAATAATATTTTTACAATTATTTATTTATAATATTGTTAATAATTGTTTTTTATAAACAGGGTTATACCATTTCAAGAGCACCCCTCATGGCTCCACAGATAATGTTTGAGTAGTTAAGTTGGCTGTGGTTGTCAGGAAGTTCAACAAACTCAGTTAGGGGGTTGTTCTCAATTAGTAAGGAAAATTCATCTCCAGTTGAACTCCAATTAGTGACAACGGGTGTGATTCCAAGGAACATTTTAAATGCCACCTTATGGAGTGATTAAATTAAAATTAAAACTTGGATTATTGTAATTAAATGGTTCATTTTGATTTGAGAAAGTTTCAAAAAAGAACTAAAAAATGATTGGCAAGGATATTAAAAGATTGAAATAAAATATGAATCATGAAATATTTCTGAAAAATTTATAATTCTTAATAACTTTTGAGATGATGTCTGCTGTCTCCCTGAAGTCTGTGCACCTTCCGATACCTGATCTAGCAAGAAAGTCCTCAATAATTCTAATTCCTATGTTGTAGCCCCTAAAAATTCACAGTTTCTCCTTAATTTTTCACTTTTTTCTCAAATTTACTGGCATTTTCAAGTTGATTTAATTATAACGGTACATAAAAGTCATGAACAAAAGAAATACCAGAAAATGTTTTTGTGGGATTATTTAATAATTTAAATAAAACCTGAGTGAGACTAACATCTTATCAAGTTGCTTGTTGATTTCATCATCTTCTTCATAATCATTCACAAGCTGGGCAACTATTGAGCCATAAGTCAGTGCAAAGAGTTCACTACTCTGAAAATATAAAAAATAAATTATAAAAGGAAGAAGACGTGTTGTTTTTTTCATGTTTGTCCTGTTATGTACCAAATTCACACTCCAAGCTCTCATTCATTCATTTGTATTTATTTGAGCCTAAAATTAGGTTTTTTAACTAATTTGCCTCCGATTTCAGTTAAATTAATTAAACTTAAGTCTTAAAGGAGATTGATTGGGGGGGGTGTATTTGACTATTTGTGAATTTATTTTCTGATATTTTATTTTATAGTTAATTAAACTATCTAAATTAGTAAATCTAAATTAAAAAAATTGAATGAAAAAAATAATTAAAACAGTTTAATTACTCACAATTTTTTTCGTATCAACTCCTCTTGCGACTTGTCGAGACATTTTGATGAAAATTTACTTACTAGAGCCTTTTAAATTATTTCACATACAATATCGACCTATTTGTTTACATAATGCATAGACAAAACATTTTTTTTTAATAAAGAACAATGTCTTATTCTAATTATATGGTCGTAATACAAAAGAATTACTCGACCATCCTAATTCACAATGGAAAGTTAGGCGCCACAATCCCTTCGAATTGCATATATATGGCAATTTTATATACACATGTATCCCATACACATATATATCTTCATCCTATATATAAAGGTAACTCTTTTGCGCTTGCTTTAGAGGTTTCAACGACTAACACAGAGTATATGAATACTCGTGAAAACCACGCATCATACACTTTGCATATGATAGGCGGGATCTCTTTGTATTCGAAGCCAGTCACTGCAGCAGCACGAACGCTTATATATCATACATACATATATATATATATATATATATATATATATATATATATCATCAGATTATTGGCTGTAAAAACGTAAGAGCGGTTGTGGAATATTGATCTAAAATATTTTATTAGATAAATAAAAGCACAGGATGAAACAAATCTCGAGCTAATTTGTGCATATTAAACGATAAGACATAAACGGAAATGTATTCATGATAGGTAAATAGAAGATCTTTTGAAAATAAAACATAAAATCATTAGATTTGAACTGTTACTGACAATAAAATCTAATATAAAAACGCATTTAATTCAAACTACAAATATGTATATAAAACAAATGCATTTAATTAGACAAACTACAAATATATATAAAACAAACATTAAAAAATGTAAATAAGTAAAACAAAGATATGTATTTAACGTAAACTCACATAAAATTAAAATGGCTATGATATAGGAGAGAATGAATTATTTCATCACTAAATCTACACATAAAAAAACAAAAATAAATGATTTCAAGTCCCAAAAAATGAACAAAAAAAGAGAGCAAAGATTCATAATTAGGAAGCAGATTATAAAAAAAATAAAAAACGCAATTTGTACATTATCATCAATATTATCATTAATTATAACGGATAATAAATGAAATTATTACAATTATTCATCAAACAGCTTTGGCTTGTCCTCGTAGGGGTTGAGAGACCTGGGCATTATTCACCTGGTAGGGCTCTTTCCTGCAGACCATGACGATGATGAGGACGATGACGACGAGAATGAAGACGGACATGATCACGATGATGGGAATGACAGCCTTTGTTTTCACCCCGACGATGCGGTCACAATTGTTTGCCAGGTAATTGCTTGTTATAATAAAACATGGAAAATATAATAATAATTAATATATATATATTATTATAATATATATTATTATTGAATATAATAATAATTATTAATATTATGGTTTATTTAGCATAAGAACAGACTTGATGGTGACAGCTTTCTCATAGACAGATAAATACAGATCATTATAATTCAATGGTTCCTTCACATCTTCCAGACAGTCCTCGTCTAGGTCTTTTCTAGAGACACGATCTGTGAATACTGACATCTAGAAATTTGTAAAATTAATTTATAAGTATAATTAATTTAATATTTTGAAAATTTAAAAGTAAGTTTATGAAATGTTTCCATGAAAGAAATTAGATTGTTTTGTTAAAATGACAAAATAAGAAAGGCTATAGACTTCATTAAGTGATAATAATAAATAAAGAAAATGAATAGAAATGAACAAAATTAATCAAATAAAACAAAGAATATATGAAAAATTATGAATCAACTTACATATTCTTTGTTTGGGATGATGATAACACTCATGTAGCATCCATAATCTTCCATACTTTTATGGATTAGGATGCTCTTATTCTTCAGATCATCTATTGAGAAATCTTTTCTAAGGAAAAATATTATAACCTCTAAAGGTTACACATTTAAATGGCAAATATTTTAATGTTGAAAAATACTTTAAATGACATTTCATTAAGCTCCTCCCATTTTTATAAACATCACATCACATTAAAGCTCATCCCATCATAACTAACTTGAAAGGATTGGCAAAAGCAATAAAAAATTAGAAAGCTTTACAAATGTGCAATAATGAGATAAGATTAATATGCTTTGTACATTACAAACACCTTTTTTTTACTATAGAAATAAATAAATTTGTAAATTTTGAATCAAGTGAATTCAATTTTTTACTTGTCAGTTGTGTTTCCATTGACATTGATAAGAGTGAAAATTGGTCTGATACCACAGACACAGTAGACATCCTCCTTTGTGAGATTAGAGTAGCAACTCTTGTCAACATTGAACTCTAACAAATGGTCCAAACTCTCAACTTTGGAGATTGAAATTATTATAAAGTATAAGTATATAATATATATTATAAAGATAAACCATAAACAATCGTATGAAGACAAAAAATAAAAAATGACTATAAAAACGAATTTGCAATCAAATACAATTAAGAACGGTAAATAATGAATAACTTCTCTCAACACTAAATAAAATATAAATGATAAACAATTGCCACACCTTGCGGGTCCGTAAGAACTGAGTGTGGATTATGGACGAACTGGTAAGTTCGAAACGCATCAACAGTAGCTGAAGCAGAAGATCTGACAGGATCGGGTGATCTGAACAGCATCATAATGGCGAACAGAATTAGGAATGATTTCGTCTGAAGTTCCATATTTGTTTGATTATTTGCTTATCTTTTATTACGTATTTAAAAATTAATGGCGACGCAAGTATAGACGAACGGCGTCGTTTGATTTTTAAAATGAAATGCGAAATGAAAGGTGTTTCGAGAAGTTTAAAAGTTACTTTAATAAAAAATTAAAATTTGGCCTCATTATTAACTTTGAAAACATTAATACATTTTATTAAATAAAAAAATAAAACTTTTTCATTTTTAATAATTTTCACTACAAATTAAGTTATACTTAAGCACCTGTATTCTTGAGAAAGTAAGTTTTGTCAGTATTATTTCGTTGCTAGCGATATTGCATTGCGTTTTCATAAATTAGTTTATGAATGTATCTATTTTCACCAACGCTATTTTTGAATTTGTTTCTTTGACAATTAAATATAAAAAAAATTAAATCTTGTTCAGTTTTCACGATGTTCATTCAGGTTTAAATTGCTCTTTTCACTTCACTAACCTCAGGAATCTAATTCACTAATCTCCTTACTTAATTAAGTCCTAATCTTCCAATTTCAAAAGAATTTTAAAATGAATGGAAGTACTTTAGTTCAGTGGCAATCATTATTTGCGTTGTGGTGACGTTAAAATAAAGTAGAACTATGAAGGAGAAAGATACAGGAGATACTGATGCGAAAGATTTGGTTGAGAATGAGAATGAGAGCAATTGGGGCGGGACCAACACAACAGTCACAACTTCAACGTGTGAATCCGCTATGTTTAAAAGTGAACTGTCAAAAAATAAAAGTTTTGAATCAACATTTGCTCTTAAATTATTTCAGTACGCCGGGTTCATCTTATTCTTAATCATCTCTTTGACCGCCATCATTTCACCTATTGTCATGATTGTCCTGCCTAAATTGGAAATTGATAACTGGAGAACAGACGTCTGCAGCACAGAATGTGAAGGGATGCTGATAAGTTTTATCATTAAATCATTTCTCTTATTCATAGGTAGTTGGGTCTTGTTTTGGAGGAGGCCAGAGTACAACATGCCAAGAGCCTCCACCTGCAAGGCATTCATACTGATACTGATTTTTGTCATCACATCACTTCATTGGCTCTTCTACGGAGTGAAATTTCTATCTTTGAAGGATGCAAATTATCTTGGAATTGTTTCATTTGCTTCAACGATGATTGAGTGTCAGATATTTGTTCACTATTTGGCTGTTGTCTTACTGGAGATCAAACAATTGAAGACTAGGTTTGCAGTAAAAATTGTCAGATCGCCAGATGGCCTCTCAAAATGCTATCAAGTCGGTCAAATGTCAGTCCAGCAGTTGGCAGTGTGGTGTCTCCACAAGTATCACAGTGATTTCGAGCACTACAATGTCTACCTAAATCGAATGATCACCCAGAAATGTCGAACAAAAAGTTTCAAAATTTCTCAGTTCAAACTGTACGACATTGATTCATCAGAAGCATTGAATCATTTACCTGCTGGGACCACAGAAGGAACAGGAAACAGCACGAGAAGAAAAGTGATGAGCTGCCGCAACAATGAACGATTTTACCAAGAAGATAACTTGGAGAGGAAGATTAGGAAGAGGAAGTCTCGTTTGATGCAAGCTGCTGAAGATGCGTTCAACAACATCAGGTCCATGCAACAAGATGCTGCAGGTCAGTAACTGGTGTATTTATTTTCTCTTTTTTACATAATAATTACTTTTCTAAGATTTATAAATTTTTTCAAACCATTATATCATGAAGAAAATCGAGACATTTTCTAAAAACTTCATTTCTCCAGTTACATCCCCGATCCAAATGTCCCCACGAGATGCAGCCCAGGCCATATTTGCAGGCCTCGCAAACCCACTCCAGAAGTATCTTCGAACAACGAGGCAACAGCCAAAGTATACGGTGGAGAACATAGTAGAACACATCACTCATTGCCTTGCTTACAATCTCTCAGCCAAAGTGTTCGTCGAGAGGTATCTATCGCAGGGCAATGTCGTATTCAATGAGGAAAAATGCCAGAATTGGGTGATAATAAGTCAGTCGACACTCAATCGGGGAGTTATTGATGGGGTTGAGTTCTGTCTGAAAAGAGGTGAGATTACCATTATGGTGAGTGTCACCTCTCTGCCATTTCTTAAGATTTTTGAAGGTGATGTCAGAAACTTTGAGACTCAATTTGTTATCTGCTCCAGTGGAGAAACTCGAGTGTAATTAGTTAATTAGTTAATTCATTTTTAATTAATTTAAATTAAATTTATTGATTTTTTCTTATATATGATCTATTTGTTTGTTTATTTTCTTGTCATTTTAAGAGTTAAGTCATATAAAAAGAGTATTTTTTATAACATTTTTGATGTGTTTTCAATCAGGATGTGTTCAGCGAGACCATGACTTTGTTTGTAGTTGCTATAACGTTCACAGTGCATGCATGCATGCATTTTCTTATTATAGAGAAATATTCATATTGTCGAATAATTTCAGAAAATAATATTGCTATTAATTATTTTTTCGCACTTATATGTGTGAATTAATACAACAATACGCGTCCAATTGTACTGCTTTTTTGTATTGAGACTCAAACACACACACAAACATTCATACATACATGCATACATACATACATACACACAAGCATATGTTCACAAACATACATACATACACACACAAACATACATACACACACACACAAACGTACATACACATATACTAACACAAACATATGTAATGATATTTTTGCATTCTATTACAACCGTAGCCAATCAGTTACATCATTTAGATCATGCATTTATGTTTAGAGTAGTTAAACTTTTTTTTCTTTTAAAAAAACCGCATTTTAATTAAATTCGTTTTATGTGTTTTTAATTTTATATGTTGACATTCGATGCATTATTTTCTATTGATATTTTTTTTTTAAGTCCTGTTTTATAAATGTTCTTTCTCCCTTTCAACTTTCCATTAAATATGCATTTACTTATTTATTAAATTAATTTCTCAATTAATTAATTAGTTAATTATTTGTTTATTTATTTTATTCAGTTATTTCTTTAAATTGCTCTTTGTTTGTTTTTTGTTGTTCTAATCGTTTGAAATAATTTAAATTCACTATTTTCTAGGGTGTTTGGTTCAGTAATCTTTGGTTGCCTGAGAGTAATTAATGTCAAAGCCTTATTTACATGTTATTTAATTTCGATTTTAATGAGTTTTTTAAAACACACACGTACACACACAAACAAACATAGAGAAAGAGAGAGAGAGACATACACACACATCTCTCTCTTTCTCTCTCTCCTCTCTCTCTCTCTTTCTCTCTCAGACACACACATACACACTGGCTGTTCGCTTCGTTAAATAATATGAAAAATAATACCAAAAGTCGTTTTTATTATTGCTTTATATTAATTTTTATCATTTCAATTGTATGATAAATTAAACCATTCAATAAAATTCAAAAAGCTGTTATATCGCTTGCTCTCTGAGTGTTTGTGAGTTGTCAATAGGAATGTAATTATAGTTGTATACAACACACGTTTAGACGACATTTTCCCCCGAGATCGGGGGTTGCCGCTTGGCTACCTATGATGAAACCGAAATACCCCTCGACGCCATTCTGCCGGATACTGAGGGCCATTGTCCCTTCTGTCATCATAAGTAATTTATTTGGCTAATTTTTACGCAGGACGCCCTTCCTTACGCAACCACAGTTATAAGCGGTGGGCCTAGCCTTTGATGATCCAACATCACTCACAAGGCAGTGAGAGTCAGTTTAATGTCATAACCGGGACATAATGTAATTATTGTTGTATATAATAATAACAATAATTATGAATATATAATAATTATTATTATTTATATAGTTTTTCTTCTTATTATTATTCACGAAAGCTTTTCTAAGAACGAAAATTAAGGCACTCGTGAATGTGATGGAATAGTCAAGTACTTAGTTAAGCTGTGAAACAACTCGAGATTACTTATTTTTAAATACATTAATACAAATACAATAATACGCTGGGTATTATTATATGTACCTATTTGTATATCACATATGTGGCGTACTTGTGTGTGTGTGTGTGTCTGTGTGTGCGTGTTTCAATTATTTTAATTCGTCTTGCTCACCTTCAACTTGTTAAACAGCTACAACATGTTTATGTGACTAGGCATTTAAATGTATTTTAAATTTTGATGAGGCACACACACGCACGCACGCATACACACGCACTCACACACGCATGCACACATACATACGTACAAAAATGAAGTTTAAATACGGTATGCCCCAATAAACAAGTTTATCATTTGCATTCAAGTATCTATTAACATCCTAGAATCAATTTGTAATGAATATAACGTTTAAATTAATAACGAAAGAGAAAGATATTCAATCAGCTTCTTGTATAACATTCTAACATATAATAATATAATATAATTAATATATAATAATATAATATAATATTTATTTTTTCATAAAGAATAATAAAAATAAGATTATGGATGTTTATTACTCGAACAATTTGTTTGGTAGTCAGTCGGTTTTCAAAGAGGAAAGGTTTGCAAGGAAGGGTGTTTCTCTGCTACGATTCAGCAGCATCGAGGTCTGCATTGAAATATTAATTATAATATATTATTTATTTATAATTGTTTTTTAATTATCGTAAATTGTTTTGTTCTTAATGTTAACGATTAATTGTTTAGTTTGTGTGTAAAAATGTGTCAAAATTTGATCGAGTTTGGCGAATGTTTCAACTTTTTGTAAACTAAAACAATGTTCTTAACTGGAAATAGTTTTCTGTAATGGAAATGTAATGAACTCGGTTAAGTGTTAGTCAGGAAGAAATGGATTAGTCAATCTAACAGAACGGTCATGTTTGTTGACGGTCCTTCGACGCATGATGTTCTGGTCGGGTCAAAATGCAGAGGGAGAAATTCTCAGCCATCAAATGTGTCACCCTGAGATAATAATTTATAATTTATATAATTTTGTTATAATTTAAGTACGTTGTCGAGCTATGACAAACGCTGCTCTTGTCAGATCTATGAGTCTATTGCACTTTGTGAATTTTAGTGATTCATCTACAACACACACACAAATACACACACGCGTAAATCATCTACACAGACCACACACGGACACATACACAAAAACACACACGCAGACACACATATGGAGCCAAACACTCGAACACACGCCATGGTGGAGCCAAGTACTGAAACACACACATGCACACAGATGTGCACACAATACAACTTTTTCAAATATTTTTGACAAAATGATATTAAATGATATTAAAAATTATATTAAAAAACAACATCGGTAATTAAATTAATGCACATAGGATGGTACGAAGATAAAACAGAGCAACAAGTGTCCAAAAAACGCCTTCAAGTTCAGATTGCTTAACAAAGTTTATCATGAAAACCTTGGATTCATCAACTTAGGCAATACTGTGCGTGACGTTTATGTGTCTGTGTGTAAGATGTGTATGTGTGTGTAAGATGTGTGTGTGTGTGTGTGCGTGTCTATGGTGTGTGGTCTATATATATTATCTTTAATCTACATCTACTCTTTATAACAAACATAATTTCATAAATAACGTAACGCATTAATCAAGATCATAATTTTTTTGTAAAATTTTTTTAAAAATTGTAAATTGACACCTGGAGAAACATGTCAACAGTGCTTCATGAACAGTATCTTGCAGTGCTTGCGACACACAAAGCCACTGGTCGACTTCTGCCTGAATGGCAAATACCGAAACGAGATACAGGAAAATATAAATTGTTCCTTTGTTGCCGGTTCGTCAGACACAACATACCGAATTTATTTTCAATATTTCATATTATTATTACTATTTATGTTATAATTTATTAAATTAATAAAATTAAATTGAAAAAAATGTTTCTCATAAAATGTATGAGTATGTATGTGATGCGTAGTTTCACGCATATTCACGTACGCTATGTGTCTTCTTGTCTTTTGTCTACGTTGTAGTCTCTGGATGGAATGAACTATAACCTTTTTAGTGTGACCCATAACCCTTTCATAGTGATCTTTGACCTTTTAAAACGACCTTGAAGCCATTACCATTCACCCTACACAATCATTCGGTTTAATTCGTAAATTAATTCTCTAACAAACTAGCTTACACGAAACTGATGAGAGTGACATCAGGCACATCACCGTACGTATCACCGTGCGAATTTAGGGAGCATATAACAAGACTTACCGATAGATACAAAGATTACAGGTAGGAACTTGGAATGTGTGCTTAGTTGTTTGTGTGTGTGTTTTTGTGTGTGTGCGCGTGTGTGCGCGTGTGTGTGAACGAATGATCGAACAGACAAATAAATGAAATAATTAGATAAGATAATTACTTAATTAACTGACACACACACAGTCAGCATGACGCCCAAGAATTCCTGATATTCCTACTTGAAATGTTACACTGCGACCTAAAACGTTTAAACGTAAGTGAAATTGGTGGTGGTGGTGGGGCCGTTGTTGGCATACCAAAATCTAAAAGTGAAGAGATACTGCAGAATTGCAGCGGGTATGTTTAATTCAAGTTTATTACATTCAATTGGATAGTGAGATGGTTTAATGGTTGTATAAGATTGTATAAGATTGTATGGGATTGTAAGGGATTGTATGGGATTGTATGAGATTGTATGGGATTGTATGGGAGTGTATGGGATTGTATGGGATTGTATGAGATTGTATGGGATTGTATGGGAGTGTATGGGATTGTATGAGATTGTATGGGATTGTATAAGATTGCACGAGATTGTATGAAATTGTTTCAGTGTTGAAGAATGCAAGGAGTGACACGTCCATTTTATGTTATACGTACCCTTACCTTAAGTTTTGTGATGATTTTTTTTGCGAAGAACTTCAAAAGAAGAGTCAGAAATATGGAACTTGTTTAATAACAAGGAGGAGAGTGAGATTATAAGTAAGAGATTGTCATGCTGATGCTGTTGATGAATTATATTTATCGATAAACCAACCAGACAACCAACTAACCAACCAACCAACTAATCAGCCATCCAACTAAACTAAATCAAGCAATCAATTATCCAACCAAATTATTACAGCAATAATAATAGTTTATATTTCTCAACAGTTTGTTCACAGCTGATCTCATACTAAATTTAGACGTTTTTATCATTTCAAAAGTTCAACAAGCGTATTTAATTGCACTCACACACGCACACTTACACACAAACTCACACAATCTCTCTCTCTCTCACTCTCTATCTTACATTATCATGATGATCATAGATAACATAAAAACGATCAATTGCATTTTTTATGCTCACCTGTGCTCTTTTTGAATTGTTGTTGTTATTATTGAATTATTGCTATTTTTATTATCATCACAAGTGCATTTTATTGTGGCAGTCAAATTCTAGAAGTATGTTTGCACTTTTGTGTTTTATATTGAGTTATTATTATTATTATTAAGAAACTATAATAAATACGGCTGTTTTTCATTATATTTAGTCTATAACGCCACACTCGAAAACATTTTGATGTTTTTTTTCTCAACTTCCATTCAATTGTGAAATGGCGACACAAAGGCAGGCAGACATTTCTTCCAATGCATCGTCATTATTTCCATTTAGCTACAAAGTGACGTAACTCAAAGTGACATAATTGAATTATTACCTTTATTATTTTTAGATATTTTCGTTGGCAGCTTAGTAAGCTCACTCAAATGCAGCAACTGCAAGACGAAATCAAAAAGTTCCGAGCCGTTTCTAGATCTCTCACTTCCCCTGGCGGAAAATGTAGTTATTTTATCATTATTCTTCCTCCTCTTTTTCTTCTTTTTCTTCTTCTTCTTCTACTTCTTCTTTTTCTTTTTCATTTTCTTCTTCTTATTATTATTATTAGTGTTGTTAATGTCACATGATAGGGTAGTAAGTAGTCTTGCTCTGTGGTAGCCGTGTTCAATAGCAAAGAGATCCTTCCTGTCTCTATTGTATGTTGGGGGATGAATGATGCGCTGTGTCTGTGCCATTAGTGGTTTTCACGGGTACACACACACTTTTTTTCGTCTATCTCTCTTTTTTTTCTCTCTCTCCCTCTCGCTCTCCCTCTATTCGTCCATCTCTCTTTCTTTCTCTCTCTCTCTCTTTCTCTTTTTGTGTTTGTGTTGATGGGAACATGTGTTTCGCTGATGCCTCCAGAATGATCTGGAATATATTTTATTATTTATAATTTTAACAACAACAACACTTATAATAATAATAATAATAATAATAACAATAATAATAATAATGGGAATAAATTTTTTATTTTTCATCAAATGCGTAAAATCAGTAATTAATTAATTAATTAATAGAGAAATAATCATGATTAAAATAAAATTAAAATAAACTCATAATCATCATAGTCATCAACAATAATAATAACATTTAATAATAACAATACTAATAATAAATTGTTTACAGGACAAAAGTGAAATGACTCTTAACGATTGCCTGGCCTACTTTACTAAAGTTGAAGTCTTAAATGGCGACAATAAGCCGGTCATTATTAATAATTTTATTATTATATTTTATTATTATTATATATTATTATTATTGCTATTCACATTTTTTATTATTTTTATTTTGCCGACATTTAACAGCTCTGTGAGCACTGCAATTCGAAGCAGACTTTCCACAAGAAACTTCGGTTTGAAAAGTTCCCCCAAATATTAATATTGCGTTAGTATCTTAGTTATAATTATTATTTCTCATCATTGTAATTCATTATTATAATTTATTATTATAATTCATTATTGTAATTTATTATCGTAATACATTATCGTCATTCATTATTATAATTCATTATTATAATTCATTATTATTATCTCTTTCGTTAGATTTGAAGCGGTTCTCGATAGCTGAAAAACAGGAAAATTTGATCAAGTTTCCACTAAAGAAATTGAACCTAACGAAATTTGCTGCAAGTAAATGTAAGATGATCGATGTTATTCATTATTCTTATCATTTTAAATAATTTCACAATTATGTAATTGTTAAAGCGCCTGAAATACCTGAAAAAATTACAAAAATGTTATATTATTTTTAATAATTTCGAATAATTTTAAAGTAATTAAAAATAGTTATTCATATTTTTATAAGCTTGTCCAGTTCTGTATGATTTATACGCTGTGTCCAATCACATGGGCAGTTTAAATAAAGGTCACTATACGGCATGCGCAAAAAGTGATGTGACGTCACTGTGGAACGAATATAATGATTCCAGGTGTGTGTGTGTGTGTGTGTGTGTATATATATATGTATGTGTGTGTATATGTGTGTTTGTGTATCTGTATGTGTCTGTATGGGTGTGTGTAAAGTTTTTGTACGTGTGTATGGAAGTGTTGGTAAATTTGATTGTATGTGTCTGTTTGTGCAACTGCACGTGCGTGTCTGTGTGTAAATATTATATTTATTTTTCTTGCCATTTTTGTAATAGTAATAATTATAATAATAATAATTGTAATTATAATTAAAGTTATAATTAAAGAGTGACTCGGATTGATGAGAGCCAAGTTGTTACCTCAAATGCCTACATACTTTTTTACGAAAGAATTCTATGATACAACACAAGTGATTTGGCTGGTTTCGACTTATTTCAAAACGATTGAATGAATGAATGAATGAATGAATGAATGAATGAGAAATAATTTATTGAGACAGAAATTGTTGTAATAACGACAATAATGCATTAAATATCTAATTCAGTAGACAGTTTTACGTATTATTCATATTTATTTTGTTAAAAAAATTCCATCCATAAATTTATTTACTTATTTACAAAGATAAATACTATGAAAATACAACCAATATTGTCAAACGAGATGCTGAATGTCTTTAACTAACGAGTCTTTCCATAATTAATGAATCTTTCCCTAATTAATGAATCTTTCCCTAATTCATTTACAAAAATGTACTAGGACGTCTTGCACGCAAGTTTTACACTTCACATAACAACACCAATAATATTTACAATGGCATTTGACCCCTCGTGACCTCGTCTCGTTCCGGAAGCCCCGCCCACAGCACATGACGTCACAGTGACCCTGTTTTTTTGGCTCTAGGTGGCATTCTCTGAAATTTCGGAAATGAATGAATGAATGAATGAGTGAATAAATGACTGAGTGACTGAATGAATAAACAAATTAATGAATGAATGGATGACTTAATTAATGATTAAACGAATTGATGTTTGAGTAAATAAATGAATGTATGAATGAATGAAAGAACGAACGAACTTATGAATGAAAGATGACATTTCCTCATCAATATCAATATTTATTTATCAATGGTAAATGAAGTAACCTTCCATATGTTCCAGAAGACCCTAAATATTTATCAGGTAGACAATAATCTGATGATATAGCGCTGTATATGAGATTGTTTGAAAATGATTCCTGGCTAGAACTGATCATTCTTCCATTGTTGTTGTTGTTGTTGTTATTGTTGTTGTTATTTCCATTTTTATGTTTAATCATTATTGAGTTAATATTTTTTGAACCTCTGACACGAATAGCCTGGTAATATTTCTTAACAAGCACATGCAGCAATCGATCTCTGGTCATGTTGAATGCCATCCAGCAGACTTTTACGTTACAGCTGCCAGAAGTGCCGTGACATCTGCAATATTTCGCCAGACTTTTCGTGATAATCTTTCGTTTGGGAGACATTTTTAAATTGAAATTAATTTAATTAAATGTTGAAATAGTTTAATTTAATGATTTAATAAGTGGTTGGTAATAATATAACTCCAATTCATTCAAAGTTTAATGAGAATTTGATAATTTGGCAAACATACAATGTTAATGTGTTTGCAATAAATATATCGTTACGTTCAAAATGACGTTTTATGAAGTAAAGTTTGACTGAAAAATGAAAGTTAAAAAAACAAGTAAAGTGATGGTAATTATTTTGGTTTAATTTGCTTTGAAATGTTTTTAAATTAAAGAAATCACTTTTCTCCCAACAGCAGTGTTATGTAGTCGAGTTTGCACTTCTACGGCTGACAGTGTTTTACGAGAATTTGATTTTAATTTTATTTTACTAGCGAAGTTTGTAGAATCGTTTGAAGAATTGATACTCGAAATTATTCGATGTTGTATAACCTTCAAAGAACTGTCGGTAAATGATCGGCTAATCTTACCGACGTAACGAATACTGTTACACCTCTCCACGTCATTCGATTTCGCATTGAATATTCGTGTATCGTCGGATTCGTGCCATCTCTTTGCGCACCGACATCCTTCAATGATTTGACCGAGATGGCAGTATCGTTCTAAGTTGAGGAGAAAAACTGAGGAAGACAGAGAATATACGAAGGATTGCTCTCTGGTGCCTGCTTTTATGAGAAAAAATGTTAAAAATTAATCTTGTCTAATTTTAATTCTATTAATATTAATTCTATTTCAGTTGTCTTGTTACATTATTTTTAATTAATCTTTTATCAGTTAATTCATATTTATTTAAACGTGTGTTAGTTGTAAATTAATTATAATTAGAAATAAAAAAAACCCCAAAACGACCTTTAGTCAGGTCTCTTTTGAAACGAGGTGCCAAACGAACGGATGAACAGTTCCATCTTTTGAATTGAAACGCTTGCTCGCATAGCTCGACGACATCGTTTGATGTTTCCGCCAGAAGGTTTGCGTGCTGCTGGGTTTGTCTGCAGAACTCTTGCTGCTGTTTCGCTAGAAATTTCTCAGATTTTGGGCAAGTTATCCGCGATCGTTTAGTGCCTTCGTCGGCAAACCGACTCATGTACCTATAGTTGAATGTGTAATGTCAAATTTTGACGAAATCAGTAAGAAAAATTTGGCATAATACTATTTTGATTATATTATTAGCAATGTTTAAAAACAAAAACTAGTTTTTTAGTACCTAATTTAACTTATTTTAAAATGAAAAATAGTTTAGAAAAGACTCAAAATCATATCTGACAGCCACTGAATTCCAATCGTATAGTGAAGTGCCAGAAGATAACAATAAGCCCAACGCATTTAACAGTTTTAACAAATTCGCATTCACATCAGGTAGAATTTTAAGAATAATTTTAGAATACGAATTAAAATGTTTTAATATGATAAATTAAATTATTGTTAACAATTTACGACACACACATATAATTATATATAAATATATGTATATGGTTGAAACATTCCAAATAACAAATTTTTTACAACAACGATTTTTACAATTTTCAGATTGACTTGATGAGGTTTTATAAGAGCTCAGTCAGTTCTATCAGAAGAGGAACTGCACACACACATTCACACACACACGCACACACACACACCACACACACACACCACACACACACTCTATCAGAAGAGAAATTGCACATACACATCACACACACATACGCAAACATAGAAACGCACACAGGCAAACAAACATAGAGCATTATTCAAACAGACAAAATGTTTAAGATGACAATATTATATATTTAACATCCACTCAAGCTTTATCAATGATTTACAACCACTGTATGACGATACTCAATACAGAGTATTGCATGTAGTACTTAATAAATACTAAATACTCTACTTTGCACTTACTGCTCAGTACCTAAGATTCACTTGGGATGAAATACATAGCTTAGTGGTTAAGACGTCTG